TCCAATTTGCTAACTTATCCCCCACACCTACAGAGATAATTTTTTACAAGCCTTTTATGTGGCACCTTGTCAAATGCTTTCTCAAAATCCAGATACACTAAATCTACACTCTTACCCTCATCTACATAAGTAGTAACCTTTACAATGAATTTTAAAAGATTTTCCCTTAGTGAAACCATGTTAACTTTCCAATAAAATTCTAAATTTTGTTAAATGATTTTACAAAGCATCTTTTAAGAGACTTTCCAGAATTTTTCCCACAACTGATGTAAGACTAATGGATTTATAATTATTGGGACAATTTTTATCACCTCCCTTGAAAATAGGAGTTACATTAGCTAACTTCCAATCCTCTGGTACCTGCCCACTATTCAAGAACTGACAAAAATAAATAGTAGCAAGTGGCTCACATATCTAATCTTTAACCTCCTTCAAAACCTTTGGGGAAATATTATCTAGCCCAGGAGCCTTATCATTTTTTAAACTTCCTATTTTTTCTTAACCAGCTCAGAATTAATGCATTCATCTTGTTTCCATCTATCAACTGTTCAGGATGTGGAATACTGCTTAAATCTTTATTAGTAAAAACTGAAGAAAAAGCAAAATTTAATAACCCAGCCACCTCATAATCATCAGATAGGAGCCTTTCTTTATCATCCCTCAAGGGTCCTTCCCCAATCCTAACATTTTGTTTACCTTAATGTATTTAAAGAAATCCGTACTGTTAATTTTTAAATTTTCAGCCAACTTTTGCTCATACATCCTTTTTGTTGTCTTAAATTCCTGTTTCATCAAGTTTCTTGATCTTCTATATCTTCTAAATCTCCTGTTATACCAGTCAATTTAAATTTATGATGCTTTTCTTTAATTTTATTTCTTAAACTCTTTGTGAGCCAACCTGTTTTTTCACTTGTAGCTGCCCTTTTCTTTCTATTAGGAATATGTTTACATTGAATATTTAAAAATATATCTTTAAAAATTTTCCACATCTTATCATTGTCTCCAAATAACTCAGCTGCCCAATTCACAACAGAACTTTTGTTGCATCCCTTCAAAATTTGCTTTTTTGACATTTGTTATCAAGATATCATTATTCCTTATCTCCATATGCAGCAAAACATTGAACCTAATAGAGAAATGATCACTTGCACCCAAATGTTCCCTTATTTCCACCCTCTCAATTATTTCTGTATTTGAAGTTAACAATAAGTCTAAAATAGCATTGTTTCTAGTTGGTTCCTTGACTAAGTGGTGAAGAAAGCCATCTTGAACAGTTTCCAAAAACCTTTCTTCCTCATGGTTTGATTCTAGAATTTCCCAATCTATATGCCTGAAATTAAAATCACCCATAATTATGACCTCAATTTGTCTGTAACAAATTTTCCCTTCATAGTCATCTATGTTTAACCATGTTTCAGTTATTCCCATTATATTAACATCCTCCATTCCGACCAGTGCTCTAAAGTCATCTATTTTACTTCTTATTCTTCTAGCATTACAATAGTAACAATTAAGCCTATCCTT